CATTCATTCTGTCATTTCAGACTTTGAAAAACTATTTTTCATACTATTCTTTGGTGAATTCTTAGCTGTCAATGAAAAGAAAAATTAAATTGCTGATTCCACTTGATTTGGGATAGGACTGAGTTCTTAAAAACAGCTCTTACTGTAGTCCCTAACATCACTTGAAGAAGTAATGACATAAACCACAATATACTTAGCCATTGCACATGCTGATGGGGGCTGCCCTGACCAGCCCTGGCTACAGCTACCCTGTGAGTGCTTTCAGTCACTGCTCATTCACTGGGGAAATTAGGTCCCCCTTGAGGCTCTTCCTTTTGACTTGCAGTGTATTTTTAAGAGAAATACTTCACTATCCTTAGGAATGAATGAGTGACTCTATAACTGATGTTGAATACAATATTTCTTGCCACTGTAAAACTACTAAAGCTAGGGCTGGAGATTTAGCTCAGTGGTTTAGCCACCTGCTGCGCTAGCGCAAGTACCCAAATTCGATCCCCGGTACCAAAAAGAAAAAAAAAAAACTACTAAAACTAAACTGATCCCATGACATAAATATATCACTTTAAACACTCACACTATTACTAGAAGTCAACAGTAGTGCATGTCGCCTCACCAACACTGTTCGACAAGTTCAAATTCCCACTGTATTTCAGAAGTGTACAACTGTAGATTACTTTTTTTTTTCAAATTTTAATTTTATTTTATTGGTACATTTTAGGTATACAATATAATGACATTCATCATTGGAAATTTACACCTTTACATAATCTCTCTTGGTTCTTATTTTTCCCCCTTCCCCTGTCCTCCCTTTAAGATTACTTTTGAATTAAAGATATTGAATTGTTGAAAACTTTCTTTCCTTTATGAGATAATCATTTTTCAACTTGAAATGAATGTTAAAATACTTTAGTAAGAGGAAAAAAGTCAAAGAAAACTGATGAAAAAGATGGAATTTTGATATATTGTTGATAAGTAAAGAACTTATTAGTTTTAAATCCATTTTAACTAATCCACTTAGGATATTGTTTGCTTTCATTTGAAAACCAAGTGCTAAAAGGAATTTACATTTTTATCTGTTGAGTATGCTACCTATCCAAGGAATGTGTATAGAATCATTTAGTTAAGGATGCTTGAAAAGGGATACAAGAATGTATAGAAAACTTATTTTTGTACATATTAAATAATCTGCCTGTATCTTCTGCATCCACACTAAACACATAAAAATTAATAAAAAGTGCATCTGTAAGATAAAAAGTGACCTTTAAGAATAATTTCATTGAATCAAAACTTTTTGTGTATTTATGACTTTGAGCTTTTTAGATAAGATAAATGAGGTAATTTCATGCCCTTCTTTGTGACAGATCTTTGTTAGAAATGAGTTTTATACCTAATTAGGTTCTTTTGTATTCTTGTTGGGAAATGCAGGGTTTATTTTATGCTTGTGGCATTAACATTAGCAGATGAAAGCCAAAACGAAAAACTTGAGCTAGGAAGAAATATTTTTAAAAATCTTGTGAAACTAAATTAACCATTTGAAAGTTACAAAGTTAGGGAACTAAATATTAATTACATTTCATGTTGAGCCAAGTGATTTTGGTTGCACAAAATCTCTGATACTTAAGTTTCTCTGATGATATATGAAAGAAGAAAAATTATTGTTAGTAAAAACATGCTGGGTACAGGGAGCAAACTGAATGATCTTTACCTGAATATCTGGTAACCAAGTACGTTAAGTATTAAACTCAAATCTGGAGATTTGCAATTAAATTCACTGGAATGGGATTTTTTAAATTAAATAAAATTACAATTGCATTAATAACTGCTTTGTGGAGTTTTTAGGGCATTTGTCATCTTATTTGAAGTCACAAAATCTGTCCAAGAATACAATAAATATGACTTTGGTAGGACTATTTCACAATGGGTTATTGTCCCGTCACCACATTCTTATACTTCAAAGCCAAGAGTTTTCTCTGACAAATTTGAGTTTGAATTATTTGGATCATTTTCTAATGTGAGTCATAAAAACAGATAGCATACTTGCTTCAATGTGCTTTTTTGCATTTCTACAACCTAAAGACCAGTTTGGCTTAAAAAATAAAATTTAACAGCCTTTAATTTGTCATGTGGAATCTGATTCTATGTGCTCTTTATTACCTCCATATATTTATCTAAGTGAAACATAAAATGGTTGTAATAATGGAGAATTTAAAGTAGCTTTTGCACATGAGCAGTAATGCTAACTAATATGATGAATAAAAGCTGAATGTAAATTCTCAGAATTTCTGTTTCTTGTGATGTGTGTGCTAAAGTGAGTACACCTAGGTTACTGGATACAATTGCTACATTATCCTAATTCAACTAAGATGAACTTTGATCAGTAGAATGGAAAAAAATAGGGAATATAGTAACCATTTGGATGCAATAAAAAAATCTCATGTGGTCAATTTTCAAACTGTAATGCAGTACACATTAAATCATAGAATCTGTCAAAATAAAAACCCATGGCCCTTTATATGCTAGAGGATTCCTCTGATATTCCCACATATGCATTCACAGATAACGTAGGTATGGCATAAACCAGCATGACCAAGTATCTGTTTCTATTGATTCTGCTTCATTGATGTCTTTTGAATTGAGTCTCCCTTCTCTATTTCCCTTGTCTCATGGTTTAGGCCTTTGATCATATTTCATTTGAACAATTCTAATAGGCTAATAGGTGCATTTCTGCCAACAACACCAGTACTTCAACGTTCAAGCCTACCTTTTCATTTCTGCCCTACTTATTTTCCCATAGAACAAAGCTGGTCAAGTCATTGCACTGCTAGAAGACTTCTATCAGCCTCTTGAAATCTGTAAGATCAAATCAAAACCTTTTAAGTTGGGATACAATGTTATGAAACAGTCTTCATCTTGCTCCTTAGTCCACACTCAGTGGATTCTTACATCATACTGAGCTGCTACAAAATGTCAGAACTTGTCTCTCTTCTTTATTCTCTCCTTGCCTACTACTACTTGTCCATTAAAGTATGCCCTTTTCTTTTAAAGCCTTTTGGATTTCCCAAAGCAAAATTAGTGGAATCAGTGGTATGTGTTGGCATGATACATTTCTCGTATTTATTTAGGAAATCAACTGTTTATAATTATTTTTTACAGTTGTAATCTTACAACATTCTTTTTTCCTTGAAACAAAAAACAATTGCATTTATATTTGAATCTTTAGAATTTAACATATTAACATATAGGGGTGAAAGTTCTCATTATATTTTTGAATGATTGAACAACTGAATGAATGAATGCAGGAAATTCTGGAGAAAAGTCCAACTCAAAAGTGTTGCAGCTGCTGATTATGGAAAGATAATTCCAGGTGGTCATAAAACATCCAGGAATGATGCCTTGATACCATCTCATACCAACTAGTATTCTTTTCTTGATATGCAGGACTATGTAATTTTTGCAAAAATGATGAATCAATAATTATGTATTTTAAATTTTACATAACTTCAACTAATGTGTATATTTATCAAAGTATATCTGTTACATAAAGTATATAGTTGCATTACTTTAATATAGACTTATATACACACAGAGCCATAGATCTGACCATTAAATGTCTTTGTCCCATCTAATTATGTATTATTATTCATATCTACTCAAATATGTGATTATCAGTCCATACCATAAAAAAACTATTCTCCAGAAACGAATTAGAATTTGTGGTTATGGAATCCTATGTAAACTGAAACCTCTACTGATCTTCAAATTACTGGCCTAAGTTTGGCTGATACAAAAGGGCTTGTAAAAATTTTGTCAGCAAATAAAACCTTGTAGGAGTCTACATATCATTTTTATATTTTATAATTACAGAAAATTACATAGCATAGCAATTAGCACTGTATTAGGTTTCATGTCTTTTTCCAAACCAATAAGGTGGAATTAAGTAATAACATCCTAGCAATAAGTTTTTTTTAATTTTCAAAATGTTTCGATCCTAATATAAGAGGCAGATATCAATAATATCAATATTTGTTATTCAAACTGAAAAATATAATGTAATTGTAACAAAAAATATATGTTTTGCCTTTTTGTGTGAAAATTGTTTGTCGTTTTACCTGTATTTTCTTCTAGTTGAGGCATGATACCTTAGAAATGTGCATAGTTAAAAACTTAATACTTCATAAGAATGCATATTTAATCCATTAGTATATAGCATAAAATCCTAGTCAACCTTCATAAAGTTACATTAAGTGGTCAGAAATTTAATTACCTAGTACAAAGGGTCCAATTTATCATCATTGGTTTATGGAAGAAAAGAATTTCTAATATTACTTTAAGATTAAATACCAAAATCTTTTAAACTGTATTTTCTTTGCAATTTATGTCACACTGATATTGTAGTTTCCTTTGTTCCTTCATAGTGTATCATAATTTGATACTATTATTAACATGAAAAAACATAATATCTTTTTAAAAATTAATGATTATCCCAAAGTCACTACATTTTTAGCCTTATAGGTAACCTTTGTTTCTTTCTTTTTAATATGTTGACCAATCATGTGTATTTATAATGAATAAAGAGTCATGCACAAGCATTTAGCATATTTAAGCTTTGTCTCAATTTTCCCCATTAAAATCTCAGAATTTTTTCCCTCCTCATGACTACAGAATGGCTAGTTCTAAAATCAAGTTACCTAACATCGGAATCATTTGCACTAAAACCATTTTTAAAAATTTAATCAACCAATAGATAGAAAAGTCAAAGATACACTTGAATCTGTCAAAGCAACACATTCTTGTAATCCCCTCAGGGGCTAGAATACAATTTGACACCAACATTTAAGCTTTGAAAATTATGTGATTATCCATTACATTTTTGGACATCACATCTCCTCAAACCTTTTTCTATTACTTACAGTGCAAGACAGAGTTAGGTCATTGTAAAAAAAAAAAATCCCTTCTGCTATTGATAATTGCCTAAGCTGTATCTTTCTTTCCTTTTTCAGAATGAAGAACAAATTTTGGTATTTTGAGTTTGGCACATCTGAAACTTTCTCAGCCACCTGCAAGAAGCTACATGAATCTGTAGAAATAGAAGTAAGAACAATGAATTCACTTTTGTAAAAATATAAAATGGCTTGTGTTTTGTTGTTAATGTTTGTGGCACAGATCTTGAAATGAAATATACCTTGATCAATGCATATAGCGTTATCCAGGATCCTAAAATATCTTTTTGGTCACTCATAAGAAATGAAATAGTGGTGAAAATCTCTGAAATATTAGTGTAAAGTTAAGTACGGGAATGAGTTGTTTTAATACAGCATGAAAAATGAGAAATGGAACATAACTTTGAGAAGCAGTGAAGAAATGAGTGGGCATAGTGTGGAGAGAAAGGTGTAAGACGAAAGAAAGTAATTGAAGAAAATGAAAAAAAGTTGCAAGATATATAAAAAAATATTTTCAGGTCTCAATATCTCATAACCTAAAGTTCACTAAAACTGTCCTTACTTTCATGAATAAATGCTTTAAAAAATTGACTTTCTTATTCCATTCCCATTCGTTAACTGGGCTTTCTCAGTCCCAAAGTTGCCATTTCCCTGTTACACATACAAGAAGTGAAAAATGCCAATAAAGAGAGCAAAGATAATAAGAAAAGACATTCTCTGAAAAGATGTGGAGCAAATAGGTCTACCAAAAATATACGGACACCGTAGGAGTCAAAATTTTGAAGACGTATTGTAAAAGAATATGGCGCATTGAGATTTTAAAGATTAAAGAAAAAGAAAGTTATATTCTGATAAATGGCACAGACAAAAACAAAGCATCAGAATTAAGAAACATGAACACTGAATGATTCAGTGATATGACCTGAAAAATACTGACTTGATATTTTTCATTTTAAAAATAAATGGATAAGTGCTCCTCTGATACCCATGTCGTTAGTGGTACATATTCAACAGATAATTTGGTAAACAGAAGCAGTTATGAACTACAGAAGTTATAAGGGCTAAGTAGGCTCTTTGTTGTCCTAACTTTCTATTTGGTAATACAGTACTCAAAATGCACTCTTCCCAATGTGATCGTGTTGTACTTCTTTTCTCATCAGGATAAGAAAAATAAATAAAGTATTAGAAATAAGCCAGTGGTTATGGAATGGGGAAAGCCTTTTGTGAGTAGATTAGACCATTTCTTTGGTAAGGAATATGATCACAGAAGGTGATGGATTTGGACTCCAAATGGACTTACTGTGATCATTATCCATGACCATGTATCTTTGAATGTGTACTACATAAATTATGAATAACAATATTTATTACTAGTAATCCATAATATATTTAATAATATATAATATAACATGTATGTGTCATTTATGTTTAAAGAGGTAACTATATATATGTCCTATCCATTGTTATATGTAATAATATATGTACATAAATATTTACTTAAAAACTAAAATTTCCTTAACATTCCAAATCATTACTTTCATAAAACTGCTTTATACAGTGGATTCTGAGCACCTTTGATTTTCAGAAACCTATGTTCAAACAAAATCTATACCTTAAATAAAAAAATTTTAAAAGCTAGAAGCATTGCTTTGGTTGAATGCAGCTGGAGACCCTGATGCTCAGCCCTGTGCTTCCTTTGGCCTGTCCCTCAGTGCAAATTGAAGAGCTGTTGATCTATAAAGAAATATTATGTGTGCCACTAGTTTAAAAAAAAGGGCCAAGAAAAAAAGAAAGGGCCAAGAATAAAGTGCATGATATAGCCAAAGACATTGGAATGAAAATAAAGGTGGAAACCATTGACGTTTTACAATATTAATTTGTATTAGCAGTGTACATGTTTACGGTATATAACAATACAGTCATCGTAGGGAGTTGCAACATGTACAGAATGCATCATTATTCTTTTTACCTCACGTCCCCCCCCCTTTACTCCCCTTTAAAGTTCTAAATATGATAAAACTGAGTTGTTTTGTTGTACAGATTTTACATCGTATAGAAAAACTAGTTAGGATACTCTCCAAGAAATCTGGACAACTAGAACGAAGTTATTTTTCTTAGATTCATGTTCCTACATGTTTTCCAAGACTGGCTTTCTGGCTCTGCATTACTTGCTTGTTTTAGGAATCACTACAAACTGCATGCACCTCCCATTATATTCCTCTGTCTTATGTGTGTGTGTGTGTGTGTGTGTGTGTGTGTGCGCGTGCACACATCCATGCCAAATCTGCCTCTCTACTCACATTTTAATGAATCCAGTCTATCATATTAGCAGAATATGCCTTTCTACCCTCAAGGTTGCTCCGTAATTAAATATAAGAAAAACAGCAATTCGGAAATGTGATTCTGCTTGCTATTGCTTCCTATGTGGCTTAAACTCATACCAACTATGGTTTGAAAAATATATAACAGAGAACAGACCACATTAGTAGCAACAGAACCTCAAACAATGGCTATATGTTTCATTGGCAGCTTCTTCAAAAACAAACCATTTTCTGTGTATTTTTTAATTTCACTCTCCTCTTTCATATAGGGACCTCCTTTCAAAAGGGACAAATGTTTGGAATGATATAAAAAGCATGAGGTAGTAGTTGATAATAATAATAATAATAACTAAGATTTATCTATTAACTCCAGCTTATGCCTGATGCCAGGCATTGCACATGCATTATCTGCATTAGTCTTGAATTAGAGAGGTACTATCATGTTTCCAGTGCTGAGCTGATCATATTCTTTAAACATTTAGAGAAATAGGAATTATATTATTGCAAAATGTTTAAATCTAAGGAAACAAATATATGGAAAAAATAAAATAAATATAGATCAATAAAGTCCTGAAACTTTATACCAGGGAAAGTAAATGAGAGAAGAAGAAGAAAGCCCCTTCTCTAGTATTTCCATCTCTTGGTTGTTGCTGAGTCTAGAAGTATGTTGTATCTATCAGCTTTTGTTGCTTACACAAAATACCTGACATCCACAACTTAATGGAAAAAAGGTTTATTTGGCTCCTGGTTTCAGAGCTTTCAGTCCATTGTTTCATGACCCTAAACCAAACACATCAGAGAAGAAAGGCCTGGTGTAGAAAACCTGCTGAACTCATGGTGTCCAGGAAGCAGAGAGACAGGAAAGAGGCAGAATGGAAAAAGCCAGAGATAGGAAAAAACAGATATTATCCTCAAGGTTATGCCCCGATGACCTACCCACACTCCCCCAAAAATGTGCTTAAAAATCACCTAGATGTCTCCCAAGCCAATCAAAAATAAATGCCATCCATCACAAATGGTAAATTTTAAAGCCAAGAATTTCCATTCCAAAATATTGAGTATTGTACTGATGCTTACATACTTTTCTAAACCTATCTGATCTCAAGGATTAACAAATAAATTCATAATAGCTAAATCTTGGAAACAGCCTACATGTCCATCAATAGATGAATGGATTTTAAAAAATGTATTTATATACAATGGAGTACTACTCTGCTATAAAGGATAAACTTCAGTTATATGTAGGAAATGAACACATACTGAGACCATGTTTGATGAAGTAACTCAAACATAAAAGCTTAAATATCACATGGTTAAACATCACACAGTTATATTGATATATTTATATATATAGAGAGAGAGAGCGCTTTTCCTATAAGATATATATATATATGTGTATATATATATATATATGTGTATATATATATAAAACAGATAAGAGGAAAAAAGAGAAAGAATAACAATTTACTGTAATGCACCGTGGACAATGTATCTAAAAGTGTCCCTTGACTTAGTCCAATTGTGTTAGATGTTTTAAATGTTCTTTGGCCTCTTAGTCTGATTTTCAATCTGTATATATTATAATTAAATTTATAATGTCTTTAGGATAAATGAATATGATGCTGGGAAATCCAAAGGGGTGGGGTGGGGGAAGGGGGGGAATTGAAATGCTTTATGTCCATGTGCCAGTCCCCTACAGGGAATGGAATCATTATGTGCTGTAAACAAGCACTAATAAAAGTGAGAAAAAAAATGAAGAAGAGCATCAGAGGCACAAAATAAGTTATCAGAATTTGAAAGACAAGAATCTTAAATCTAGTAACCTGGCAAACAGAATTCTTAAAGGCAATAAGGTTGCTTTCCAGAGCAATCATCCCTCTATCTCTCAATACAAAGAGTATCTATAAAGCAATGTTTTAGGTCTCATTGGGTAAAATTGTGAATATATTTTGTCTGATAATGACACAGATTCAGACTCACTATGGGAAAAAATTACAATTTATCATTAATTGTAACTCAACAAATTTACTGTCTCTGCTTATACTTGTCCAAAGTTTAAAAACTAAAACTAATTTATATATTGGCAAAATATGTAAACCTGCTTCTTTTCATCTACATTTCTCGTGGAAATAGTGTCTTCCATTTTAGAACTAAGAAGAGTTGATAATGGCCTCACAGCATCACACTCTAGAAATAGCTCCTCTAGTATTATGTTAATAACATTTTCCTACATAATAAAAATACTCAGGATTTATTGACAAACCGAGGCTGTTAGCTTTTAAGCTTTTATATTCTTTGCCTCTGTAGTTACCTTTTTAAAAATCGTAAATCTCCAAAGAGGATGAAAATATTATCTGACACAGTATTATAACTTGCTTATATTTCACAGCCTTCACCTTAGCTTTCATTTTCATATACTCAACTGGTGTGCTACAAGTCCTGGTCTCCATCACCACTAGCACAGAAATTTTCCAGACTAATGAACATAATGTTAAAGCAAACAGAGGAAGGTTGCCTGGGGTCAAGAACTAGTGGGAACAAATCATTAATAAATAGCCATGTATTTAAGTACATTGTCCTGCTCTCAACAGAACATCAATGTTCTTCATCAGTCCTTGTTCTTGGCAACTGCTTGAGAATATTTTTTCACTTCTCCGAGAATGATTTGCTCTGTTTCCTTAAAACTACACATGACATGGCTCTGAAGAGTGCAAACATGAAAAACAGCATACGCTGGGGTTTTTCCATTGTTGCATATAACTCCACCAGTTCAATTAAAAAGAAAAAAAAAAGTGTATTTGCAACATGCTCTCTATTTCTGCAGATGAACAAAGGAATCCTCCTTCACTAATTCTGAAAGTAACTTGTCACAGTGGGGTTCTGAGGCCTAGTCAAATAATTGTCTTAGTGTACTACCTGCTGTGTTCAATATTGAGTGAAAATGGAAGCTAGGCCCTGACTCCAGCTTATTTCACGATTCTTCTGTTATTTAAATGATTTTAGTCAGTTTGGGGGAAGCCAGACCTTTATAAATTAACAGCAGGGAAATACCAAAGGTGTCAGATTGCATATTTATCATCTTTTTCGTGTAATACTTAAATATGTATTAAGAAGTGACTGACATAAATTAGGCAGATTTCAGAAGCCACAGGCCGTGGCTTGTAGAGGACCCCCTTCTGCTTGACATTTCATCCTTGTCAAAGATCAAATTATTTTAATTTAGGCTGCAAATTATAAGGAATGAAGACTTCTTTGTGGGAATTCCCTGTGGTAATCTGACTTTTGTTGTTACTGCTGCTTGTCAGTGTGCAAAAGATATAATATGCATGCAAATAAGGTTAAAAAATATGTACTATCTAATTATCAAGCTAGTACATTCCACTTGAAGACAGTGGGAGGCCTGACACACAGTATGTGTTTGATTCATTGAGGCCTGCAGGGTATTTACACAAGATTACTTTTAATTATGAAATTAATATCTGTTTATCTAGAATATATAGCGGTAAGTGAATATACACATGAGCAAAATTCTTTAGTAAAACGAAATCATATTAATTTAATACATAAAAAGGAAGGGAAAGAATCACTTGATTCTGGGAAAAAAGAAAGACATCATCCAGTCCTTGCTTTTGCTGTCCTTGAGACAAAGTGAATGAAAACTTGGCGCTTTCTCTAGAATTTGTTTCTACTCCTGCCAAGTAGCCTCAAGATGTGTTGCTTTATTTCACAGTTTTTATTTTTTGGTGAACAAATGCAATCCTAGATTCAGCATGATGAGGTGAATATGGATAAAAAGAGCGTTTTGTTTTGTTCTCATTTCAGTGGCCAATTATCTCTTCTAAGTCTAAAAATGTCATGATTTCCAAGAGAAATGAAGTTTGTCCTGATGACTTATTTTGTAAAACAACATGGAGAATAAAACAGCCCCGGTGCAGATAAACTTCAAATTATGAGCTACTTACCCCTAACAAAGTCTTTTTAAAAACAAAAAAGTTATGTGTCTTCTTAATACCTCGTAATCTCTTCTCATATTGGCTTATAATTGAAAGGAGAACAATTTCTGGAATATATGAATATTAATTCCTATTTTAGAAAACCAAAAGCAAATAATAAACATGGAGTCATTTACGAAATAATAAACACAGTCATTTACAAAATGCAGAACAGCCTTACTGGTCTTCACAAACATTCATCAGCAGCAATGAACAGAAAATTTTTAAAAATTAAAAAGTGACTCTTGTAATTATACCAAGGCACTGTTTATTAGTGTTCTGCATATTTTTTTTCAATAGAATGTTCCATCACCAAGTAAACCAAAAAGTCTGAATGAAGAGTTTTTTTCAATCTGTTGTCATTTACCCCACTCTGCCTGTTCCTCCATGTTCATGCGGACAACCATAGCTCCCACTGCCTTTCATGTGCTGCTTGGTCACCCAAAAGTCTGAGATCATCTGAAGTTCTGTTTCACACTTTTCTTTTATGAAGTCTTTCAAGCCACTTCATTCACGCCCCCCCCCAAAAGAAATGGAAACCATGGATCACGAATACTAGTTTTTTACTTTCCTCCACAGTGCTTTGTAATGTGCAGTGCTTTGCGATAAGTGACAATCATTAAAATTACTGCCTGAAATTTGACCATACTTCCCAGAACCAACCTCCTTGTAATAGGCTGGGAATTTGCAGCTGGCTATGTATGCAGGTAATACTGTGCATCTCTCTCAAAGGTTTTCTATAAACAAAGACACACTGGTGATTTAATCTCAGCTTTTTAAGGATTATAAATGATAACTGTCTAATTTTAGTTGTCTGCATTGTATTTTATATTGACATTTAGCATAAGCATTTAAGTGATTTTGAAACGTTTGTCTAGAAACGATAGGATTATATATTTAACAGCCCTGATTAGAAAATAAGTGAAAAAAGAAACCAAGGAAGGAAAGAGAACATGTGACAATTTCTCTTTTTTTCCTTTTGCTGACTAGTGTGATGGAGTACAGATAGATCTAACAAACATCTCCCTGGAAGGAATTGCGATATTGAATATACCGAGCATGCACGGAGGATCCAATCTTTGGGGAGAGTCTAAGAAAAGAAGAAGCCATCGACGGATAGAGAAAAAAGGTTCAGACAAAAGGACCACACTCACGGATGCCAAAGAGTTGAAGTTTGCAAGTCAAGGTAGGGTTTCCAGCAGTGCAGTGTTAACCTGCTTGTTAATGGGATTTGAAAGGCTGCCTTGGGAGGAGTTTTCCATTGCACTATAATAAAGTGTCAATTTATGCAGTTGTATTTTTCATATTATCAGATACTCACATGTGCTTAAATAATGTCATAATAGATTTGAAAATTATATATGGTTTTCTTGGATTTTTCTCTTTCATTTTCTTTCTTTGGTAAGAGCATTTCTCACATAAAATAAGGTAATATTAAGGATGTATTATATATTAAGCTCTTCTGGAATGTGATCATTTTGGTCAAGATGTTGAGTGACCATAACGAGGTCCTAGTGAGGACATTTCTAAGGTTGCATTGTAAGAGATTTGGGTTTTGTCTTTCTCTAGTCATGCTATGATATAGAAACAATATATATCAAGCTATTGTTCTAAGTACCATCTATAAGAAAATGTTTAAATAACAACAATTAGGAGATCTGGGAAACAAAGAGCATAGGGTAGGTAACAAAGTAAGATACAAAAGCCATGGGACAGAATGTTTAAATTCATTTTAATATAATTCACAATGGCATATGACCCCTGATAGTTTATATATTTTTTTTACTTTTTAGAATTTATCTAATACTATTGATGGCACTGGGAAATATGAAAATATATGGTCTCAACTCAGTGTAGCAAGGACAAAATATAAGGTCACAGACTTAAGCCCTCAGTACAAACAAACAATCGGATAAATAAGATGGTTTGTGAACTTGCTGGCAGTGGGCAATAATTCTGTGGCTTGGTTCCTCTGTTATGTAGAATTTGGTGTCATGGGGGTGACAAGGATTGATGGAGACTGTGTTAGATTGTTAGACCATGTGAGCCTCTTGAAACCAAAGCTCCCCGCAACTTGCTAATGACGGGAGGCTTGGTAAAAACAAGCCTGAATAATTCTCTAATTTAGTACAAGCAAGATTACAACAAATCGATTAAAATATTTTATACTCAGAATGCAATGTGACTATGAAACGTGGAAGAAAAATATCATTTTGAAGAAAAAAATAAATAAAAATGAGAGAATTGTCCTATATGAATTAAGGATAAGTGCACTATAAATATGATTATTAGTTTTTAGAAGTCATTGACCTTAATATTGTCATATTTAAATACTAATCTCAGTGTAAGATAAATATATTTCTGAGAGTAGTAAAAAACTTCTAAGAATTAAAATTAGCTTAAAGATCATACTCAGAACCCAATTTAAAAACTCTCAATTATACAGATTATATTATTATGTGCTATGTATGTACTCGGTTTTCTCCTTACAAATGTCTTTATGTATATATGTATGTATATATATAATATTGATATTTATATATATTAGTAAGTATGAAATATTCCAGCGCTATTATTCTATCACTATGTTCCAATACTAGGCACGGCCTTTCCAAGTGCAGACTCCAGATATTTAACCAAAGTACTTCTCAAACTCTCAGTGGCCAATGACATTCACCCACAGCGCTGTTGAAAGCATGGAAGGCACGCAGCTGTGCTCCATGCAGACAGATGTCTGTTGAGATGCATCTGTATATGGCCTGTGTGCAGCTGCTTCAAGCAGGCCATTGGCCTTGCCTCACTCACCTCTGTCTGTATGCTCTCCTCAGGGACGCAAATTTGAAACACAGAACCGACCATCCACAACTATTGGGCATATATGTAGGAAATGCTTTCTTCTTCCCTGCTATCTTCTTGTTTTCTGCTGTGGAACATTAGAATCAAGTCTCCAAAATACTCACAAAGGAGACAGTGGGGACATTCACAGTTTGTGACTCAAGAATACACATCTTACATTAAATAGTTTTTGAATTCTGTGTCCCTCTGTAAAATTTTTTACTGCACTTTGGAATAGATGAACATTTTTCTACAGTTTGAAAAAAATTTTGTTAGGGTAGGTTCAGAGAAAGTATAAGTTCATATGATAGAGATAAATTATTTTATGTAATAAAAGTTTTTAAAGTAAGGAAAACACTTTATTTAAAAAAATATCATAGACCAAAGATCTGGTTTTGTGCATCAAATCCTCAAAATATTAAAGTCTGTATGATCTGGAATTCCTAAACTATTTACTTTTTGAGGAGACTCACATAAGAACAGAATATTCAATCAATTTATTGGTTGAAATTTTTACTGTAGACTTAATTCAGAGTGAACGAAATTATAAGTATTTCATCTAATTGTATTATTCCATTGAAATATGCTAAACTGTTTGCATGCAATTCTGAAACATATTCACCCTCATGCACTTCTAATTTACTAGCCATTTTCTTTGTGTGTTTGTAAATACAAATGAGTTATTATATATAGATGGCACAGTCTTAAAGCAAAACTGTAAAGTAGGCCAAGTTTATCTGCAATGTTCTCTGCTTTAATATTTAATCTTTCCCATGTCTTTCAGTTTGAGTTCATCTTTACCTCCTCCTCATCTAAATTAACCTCAGAAAGATGTCTAATAAATTCATTCACATTAATGTATAAATGACTGATTGCAGATGAAGGTAGCAGATTTGCATTTTAAAAGATATAAAGGCCTTCAGCTAAAACATTATTTTTCATACTGTGCTCCATTAAATTATAACTGCAATGCTTCAACAGTTCTATAAAAACTTGGCTCAAATTCATTGCTTTATTTTGGACCAATAAAATGGTTTAATAAAAGTACACAAAAAAGTGTTTTATAAAAAAGCATTTGCCATATTAACAATTCTGAAATCATTAATTTGTATTATCAGACAAAAAAAAAAACATCCTGCAGGCTTCCTCTTCCTCCTCTTTTCTTTTCTTTATGTTTAGTTGAGTAAATAGAGAGAGAGAGAGAGAGAGAGAGGCCTACACATACACATTTATATAAATGTGGCTTTGATTAGAAAGTTGATAGCCCCTCTTTGTTATTTAAAAGAACATGGCTCATCATATTTAATAGGAAAATTTTACAAATGGACGTATTATCATCATAGCATATGTGATCACCATGTAATGAAAAAGCCAGCAAATTCAGATATTTTTGTTTCTCACAAAACCCAAACAATATATAGCCATCAGTTGAAGGGAAAACCAGGTGACAAAATCAGTATTTTAAATGCAAATTTATATATATTCTTTTGGAAATTTCTATTATTTTAAGTAGCATTTTCCTCACAAACAAATCACATTTGTTAACTAGTTTCAACAAATAATAGGCTTGTAGTGGCTCAAGCAAGCTTTCATCAGAGAATTGATTTAAATAGCTCACAACTGCAGCTAAAGAGTTAGCCATAAAATTGAAAATTTTTAGGTCTATATGCAGAGCAAAACAAATCTGAGTAATTTAAACTTTGAGTGACTATCTTAACCAGAGCGCAACATGATATCATAATATATCATAAATTTCTACTGATGAAGTTGCAAAACTATGTTAAATTGACACCTTTTGAAAAATATTTTTTAATCAAAGAACTAGGATCTCTCAAGGACAGTGAGCCATTATTTGCTCTAATTGGTTTAGCTTTGAAGAAGCAAGTCTATGATTCCACATTCCAGGAGTGGAATTGGAAAGGTTCAAGATGGCTAAGTGCGATTTAAAAAGTTCACATCACTTAACTACATATCTGTGTAGATCAGAATAGGCCCAATATTACGTAATCAAAATAAAATGTAGAAATCAAGAAAAACAGGATGGCTATGATATTGGAAATGTCATGAAAATAACTCCATTATTCTTGTAGTTTGACTATCCAGAAAAGTTGAACAATTTGAACTTTAAAATGTATTCATACATATGTGATTCGGATTTTGTCTTTTATTTACTGCCTTTAAAATACTGTCTCAAAAGAGAAAAATTGTCAATGACTTTAAAAAGTTTGAAAAATGCTGAGCAAAAGTAATTACACTCAAACCATAGAGTTTCAAGCATTTGCCAGAAGCTAGGGGAGGAGCTGCCAGGAGCAGCTGGACGTCCTGCTTGAAACCTCATTAAGTAGGTGACTGTAGGGCCTGTGTATGAGTACAGCTAGCCAGGTACTTGTCATAGGAAAGTTTATCTTAAAAACTAATTAACATACTAATTCATCCAGGAAATTTTCAATGATTTCATTCACAACACTAATTCCGTTATTTGGTCAGAATTTTCCAAAGCCCAGAACGCTCACTGATGAAAATTGAGGCAGTTTAGCAGGTACACCAATGAATATTTTAAAGCTTAGTACACACAAACACACATACGCACAATGATTGAAATACAGAATGAATGTTTGAATTTTCAAAATGTATTACAATAAAAGATACATCGTAGTTCATCCCTTTCAATATATTTCCCTTGCTTTTAACACAATTATCCCTCCATTCTTGCAACTTTCTGAAGAAGCTCTGGAAATCCTCTCTTGTGAGTCTCTTTACAAGGTGAGATGAGAAATAGAATGAATGCTGCTGCCAAGTGCCATCCAATAGACGGGCAGGCTTGTGGAAACAGTACGGCATGTACTCATCAACCTTATTCACTAGATGTGTCACCAGGCAACATCTGGTGCATTCCTGAAGTCAAAAAGACTGTGAAAGCTGAACTGAATTGATTCTCACCATGAAGGCAGCTCTGGCAGCAGCAATAAAGACACTCATGGAAGATCCAGAACTGCTCCAGAAAGTGGCAAGAATGATGAGATAACTGTATTCAAAGCAAGGGGGAGGATTTTGAGGGTAATAAATGGCTGTACTGTAATGATATTTTTAAGGCTTAAAAAGTGTTCACTGTATTCTTGATTATCATAATTGTGTGTCTGTATGTTAGTTATATATGTGTTTTTATATATTAGTACAATGTCTTCTCTTTATGTTGGTTTTATTATTTATAATAGCAATCCATTCTGTGGTAAAAAACTTATTTAAATAAAATAGAGTAAAGCAACTACCCCTACCTTCTATCTTTTGTACAACCCTATCAGCGTAAACATTTGTATTCTTAATCAAATTTGTATGAAATTGACCATGTAT